TAATTTTTAAGCTTCATGGGGTTGGAAAAAAAAATATACCCAATTCGTGAAATCATTTACATATTATAATATATATATACAATGTTCAAATATCTCACAAAGAATTCAAAATTTGAGTACGAGAATGAGAGCGTATAATAAATCCTACATAAAATAAAATTTGATATTTTCAAAAAATTTATACATACATATGGCTATAGGAAAAATATTCATAAAATATATAATATCCTAATCTTTAAGCTTCATGGGGTTGGAAAAAAAAACATACCCAATTCGTGAAATCATTTATATATTCTAATATATATATATTTAATGTTCAAATATTTTATAGAAGAATTCAAAATTTAAGTACGAAAATGAGAGCATATAATAAATTCTACGTAAAGTAAAATTTGACATTTTCAAAAAATTTATACATACATATAGCTATAGGAAAAAGATTCATAAAATATATAATATCCTAATCTTGAAGCTTTATGGGGTTGGAAAAAAAAAGCATACCCAATTCGTGAAATTATTTACATATTCTAATATATATATATATATATATATAATGTTCAAATATCTTGCAGAAGAATTCAAAATTTGAGTACGAGAATGAGAGCGTATAATAAATCTTACGTAGAATAAAATCTGAAATTTTCAAAAAATTTATACATGTTTATGATTCAATAATACTTACACATGGGTGAGAACACATTAATTTTTCAAGTAGAAGACATCATAATTGATTTTTTTTAAACAATAACTACACTAAACTTACGTTTTTACTTGAACCCATATTTCTATATAACTATAAATAAGTGGGAGAGCCAACACGAAATGCATACGTGCACAGATGAGCGGAAGAGTGTATGTACATGTACATATGGTGAATGATGGAAGCTTAGAACAGTAATCATGTGAAGAGAGAGAGAGAGAGAGAGTGGGTAAAGGGGTAAATAATGTTGCAGAACCAAATCAGGAAGGTATATAATAACGTATCATGCATGTGGGAGGGAAAGGTGGTGCAAAAGGAGATTGGGTGTTAGTGTGGTTTTTGACACCAATCCAATCCGTGCGTGCCTCAATTTTTAGTATGTTGTGTTGGGGTGTGTCCAAAATTGGGGCCTGTTTGGTTTTGTTTTGGATGACACCCATTTTGGAGATAAACACCAACCCTGCAAAGATACTTCATTCCCAATTTTCCTTCTTTCTTTTCTCTGAGAAAAAAAGTTAATGAATAGATAAACAACTTAACTTCTGACCCCTCATGCAAAAGGTACGCCGTTAGAGCGAGTGCGCTTTACTAATAGAAAGTCAAGGCTCTAAGCTCCGCTCCTTCAACTGATCGTTCGCAATCGATTTCAGGTTCTTATTTGGACATTTTGTTTGGGCTTCTGAATTTATGTTCTTAATTTCCTGACGTTTTTCCGGAGAATCAGTAAATATTTCTACTACGAAAAAATGGAACTTCTAACTGAGATATGATGGGTTTGATATGTCGTGAATCTTATAAAATGAACACATCGTATATATTATACTTGTTATTGTATTTACAGAATTAAAATAAAAAGTTTACATAGAAACGAAAACTTAAAAAGCACAATCAATATGTATGTCATTTGGGTATTTACTTTGAAGAAAAAAAGGCATCGAAGCCAATATTACCCGTGCTTCTAAGTAGATCACGAGCTATATTTCTTTTTGCACTGTACTCAAAGTAGAAAACTCTCTGTTCACTTTTTTTTTTTTTTTTTTTATTTTGTATATTTTAGAGTTACATCGAGTAACATTCAAGAGTTTTGAGATGAATTTTGCTCGTTTAAAAATTAAGAGATTTTTTTAGGTCAATATATATACTAAGCCGAGCATAAATGATGATTTTCGTTCAGCAGTGAACTCTTCATCCAACAACAAATACTATTTTGATATGGATTATGTAAGTCTATATATGACTAATTTTAATCTTAAATTGTACGGTACAAAATTCAGTAACAATCATTTAATTCACGACCTTCTAACATAAGTTCTCCCATTAGGTTTGTTGGGCCAACTTTTGCTTATGTAAATTTACGTCATCAATAGTATATTCTTATTTATCTAAAAAGATTTTGATGTATAAAAGTTTATAACAAAATTTAAAATAATTGATTTGATGACAATTAAATATTTATTTATAGTAAACTTACGGTATAATTAAAAAAAAATATTATTAATAAACAAACATTTGTATTTACGTAAATAAAATAATTTACGATATATTATGTAACGGCCCCGGAATTTTAAAATGAAATATGTGTATTAAAAAGGTCAAATGCGGAAGCGTAATAAAAATTTTGATTAACATCCCTTACACTAAAATCAAAAACGTGCTCAAAATATAAAAGAACAAACTAACTAAAAGAGAAAACTCGAAAATAAAAGTTATAAATATAACTACGGAGTCTTCAGGCGTCCCTTTCGCCGTCTTCCTGATCTGAAATGATTAAATAAGGAATGAGCTACATCAGCCCAGTAAAGACATCACACTATCTCACCGTCACGGAGGTAAAGGTGGGTAGAAAACACAAAAAGATTAATGGAGCATAATTTACAACAAATTCTTTTATCAATAATAAAATCCTTTACTATCCACTTACCTCGGTGAAGTTCATGAAACAACATACGAAATCAATAACATTATCATTATCATGAAATCACATAAACTTTATAATACAATATTTATCACGCGTTTGCATTTCAATCTTTAAACAGCATAATTCCCCTTTACCAGCCTACTAGTATCCATGGGGGTCCATAGGGGCCCGCTACCCGTGAATCCTTGACGTTTAAAATCCTGATTTTCAGGGCCGTCCCCATACCCCGTCCGGTATGGGCGCTAAAACCATGAACCTCACTACCCCATCCGGTATGAGGGTGAAACAGGCCGTCCCCATACTCCGTCCGGTATGGGCGCCAAAACACATAGGATCTCCATACCCCGTCCGGTATGAGAGACCCGGTTCCTGGTAGGGTTCCCTACGGACCCGGTCCGTCCACCATCTCCCAGGATACCTAGTCAGGCTGTCCACATTATCCGTTTGCCAATTCACACAACCTTTTATTCCATTTCCTCAATCACCATTATCAAATTTCACGCAAACATGTAGACTAGTAATTAATGCCAAGCAAGACAACACACAGTACCGGTTCACCAAAATACAAATCTTAACAGGAAAACATGATACATGCGTACGAGACCATAACAATAACTACATTTAACATCATGCTGCATTTACCACTAAAAAATAAATCAAACTGTAACCGACCAATCCTGTGTCAGACTCGGGCTCCATTGGCAACCTTAATACATTATACATTTATAAAACCACACAAACAGTTTAATTAATTATTTGACTTTAAAACCGTGATAGGAAACAGGGTGAGAAATCCTTACGTGTTTCGGAACCTGAAATGGGCTCTACCGTGCGCCTGCGGGCTATCCCTAAATTCCCTGAATTTTTCTTGGGAAACTGAAACACGTTACCGGTACCTGCACGTGTCCCAAAAATCTCAGAATCAGACCTAGGGCCTCTTTCGGCCAATATCGCAATTCCGGCACGGCGGCTCCGCCATGCTCTGGCGACGGCAAGCGGCGGCGATTCACCTCGGGTTGGCCGTTTTCGGTCGTTTCCGGCTGAATTCGGCCACACTAGCATCGGTCCCTGCGATAAAACAACCTAAGGCCCTCGGGGGGTCAAAAAATTACGAAAAAAACCGAAGCTTACCGGTGGCGGTGCTCTCGGGTGCGGCGGCTCTCCGGCGGAGTTCGTGTTTTGGTGATTTGGCTCCGATCAACCTGTAGAGAAAAGAATGGTGATCACGGTGATATAAAAATTGTATCAAACGGAGGCCGGGAAGGACCTCATCGGAGGCAAAAATCGAGGAGGGGCGCGGCGGCGCCGCTGGGTTTCGGCCGTTTGGCCGGAATTTTGGCTTCGATTTGGCCACAGGGGAACTCAGCATTGAAAAACGAGCCAGGAATATGAAATTTACCTCGATCGGCGGTCGAAAAACTCCCCGGTGCGGCGGCGGGTGGCGGCGGTCGGCTCCTCCGGCGTCTGGTTCGTCTTCTCCGGCGAGGGCAGGCGGCTAGGATTTTTGTGGTCAGGTGTGGGGGTTCTATTTATACCCTTTTGCCTTTTGATCACAGCTGTCCATTTTGATTAAATCTGAGCCGTCCGTGCGCGTGCATCTGGGCCGTCCATGCGCTTGCATCTGGGCCGTCCGTGCGCACGCTTAATCTGGGCCGTTCGTGCGCGCGGGGACGCATCTGGGCCGTCCGATCGCCCACACGCGGATCACCCACGTGGCCCGTTCCTGGGTCGACGTGGTCTTGCCACGCGGCAGGTCCTGGTTGGCCAGGATTGCTGACTGGGCCGCTGACGTGGCGCTGACGGGGCGCAATTTTTCTAAATTGCGTTTTGACTTTCGGTTTCCGATTTTCTTTTCAAAAATACCCACAGAATCCTAATTTTCATCCCTTTTTTCTAAAAATAATTTTAATTAAATCCAAATAATATTTTTACCAAATTTTATAATTATTGTTATTTTTATTTTTATTAAATTAAATTAAAATAAACTAAATAAAAATAAAATAATAATAATAATAATAAAATTTTAAAATTATTGGACGTTACATATTAGAATTTATAAAATTATTAATTCAGTTATTGAAGTATGAATATATTATAATTTAATAAATAAATAAATACGCAGGAAATAATTATTTTGTTATAGGCGGAAAAACCGTTGGTTCTAATTGGCCTGGGGGGATTAAGTGGGGGACCAATTAAATGGCTTAGCGTGTGGTTCAAGGATTCTCACCGGGATTAAAATCGAGTGAAACGACACCGTTTTCCCGAAAAAGGACGAACTGAGTCAGTACCTCGAGTCGCACAAACTTATCGTGTCAATTCCAAATTGCCACGTGTCCATTTCTCGCGGCTTTTCTCTTACTTGTAACCGTCTCTAACCATCAAAGCAAGTCACCGCCATTCCCTTATCTCCTTTCTTGGTTCGAGAATGGCGTTTGTGGCACTCTTCGTATCGGCGACGAAGATCGCGGCAGTCCTGGTAACACTAACTGTTGCAGCCAATGCGTTCTCTTTCTCTCGTTACCGGAGAAGGAATTTGCGTCCATTCCGGTCACCCATCGATGAGTCATCCGACATACTCGCAGATTTTAATGTCGACGGTAAACTCGCAATTCCTAGAAACTCTAACGTTTGTTAATTCTTTAGGTTTTCGTCATCAGTGGCTTTATTTCGTGAGTAGTTTAGTAAATACTTGGATGTTTTTTTGCGATTTTCACTGGATTAAGTGTCGAGTAAGAGCCTAGCAGCAAACATCGGTTTAGCTTCTGTGAGTAGTTATGCTGCTTGTTATCATTGTTTTCTTTTTGTTTTGCGTGATTGCTGCTTGATAGCTTAGTTTTCTATTTGTTCTGTGTGATTGGTGGTAAGGGCTAAAAGAAGAATCTACTTGCTTCAGACAGTTTTGCTTGAAAATGAATGTATTTAATTTACTACAGTTGCCTAATATTGATGTTAATTCAATGACATTCCCTAGTATTCGAGATCATTGCTTAAAAATTTATGTTAACGCTGGATGTTGTGGATGCATTTTTTTTTTTTTAAAATGTATATGTTGTTATCTGGGTATGGGCTTACGTCTTCTGACCTTTGAGCAATCTAGTACTGGATTGACATCCTTGAGAAATGGCTTCTGTGATTGCTTTTAATTTATCTAAATATGCTTGTGCAAATTGGGATTCTCCTGTAAGTTAGTGGCCGAAACCACTGGGTATTTTCCATTTCTATCAATGTAATTATAATTCATTGTGTTATATGTTGTAAATCTCAGCGGAAGGGGAGAACCAGTTTTTCTTTGGATTGGCAACAGCTCCTGCACATGTTGAAGACAGGCTTAATGATGCCTGGCTTCAGTTTGCAGAAGAAAATCCTTGTGAGAAACCAGAATCACAGCACGGCATGACTTCAGCAGATGCAATAATGGGTTCAGCTACCGCTGATGGTGGGTCTCAACTAGTCTCCCTTCCTGGCAAAGAAGCAAATAAGAAAAGAAAGAAGCCTCTTAGGATAGCTATGGAAGCTATGATAAGAGGGTTTGAGAAGTTCATGGATGAAGAAGAAGTAGAAACCACACAGAAAGAAGAATGCCATCATAATGTAGCTGCATGGCACAATGTTCCTCATCCGTAAGTCTCCCTCTGTAGTTGATTTCTGAAGAAATTTACATGCCAGATTTCTAGTTGCAGATGAAAAAACTTCTTTGATCCTTGGTAATAGCATGCATTTGTTAGTATCACGTATTGTTAGTATTACATAATATATGGATTAGATATGTGGATATATATCAAAATGGCAACTAGTAAAGTGTGTTGTTGGAAAATTATTTCAGGGAGGAGAGACTAAGATTTTGGTCTGATCCTGATACGGAATTGAAATTGGCTAAAGAAACTGGTGTCAAGGTGTTTCGAATGGGAATTGATTGGTCACGGGTCATGCCAAAGGAACCACTTAATGGACTTAAAGAAGCTGTATGTATGATTACCTTAATGGTTTTGATGGTACATTTCTTGTACCCTGCAAATGAAATAAAATGTGCATGTGTCATCCACCCCAATGTGATTTATGATAGATACTATATATAGCTTGGTCTGAGAATATTAATTAAATCTGCAACCTAACTAGGAGCTTACCTACCTTACTGCTTTTGGTGGCGCATTGTGTGCTCATAACTTCTTTCATCTAGGAAAAAGAAGCCTAAAGGGACTCTTCAGTTTATTAAGGATTTCACTCCTGCAGTACTGATTATCCCAGGGAAGTACACCTCCCAAAGAAAAATAACAATAATAATAAAAAACAAAAACAATTGAAAACTAAATCTTGGAGAAAATGTATAATTCCTTGAAGACATCCATATGCTCGTAATAGAAACATTACCAAGGTTCTCGAAAGTTACATGTTTCTGGTACAGTTAGTTGGCAATTAGTTAATCACATTTTCCTTTTAGGTTAATTATGCTGCATTGGCAAGATATAAGTGGATCCTGGAGAGAGTCCATTCATATGGGATGAAGGTGATGCTGACCCTGTTTCATCACTCATTGCCACCATGGGCCATTGAGTATGGCGGATGGAAGCTTGAGAAGACTGTTGATTATTTCATTGATTTCACCAGGTTGGTCTAAAAGTTTAAACTCTGCACGGGGAAGTTTCTTATTATCATTCACTTTTAAGTTTTACTTCTGGTTTTCCAATGCCCATTCTGGTTCTCACCTGTATTTCATTAGAAGCAAAGACCATAAGATACCATTCATGAGTTACCTGAGAAGTGTTTTCATTTTCTTGAGGAGTAATGGAAAAGAATAGTTAAACTGAGACCGAAATCACTTTTACATGGTGATGATTCAATATCGAATACTGAGCACATGGACATGTCCGAGTTATTCCCTTGTAACATATGTTAGAGAAGTACCTGGTTCTTATTTACTTGCTACGTGATAACCATTGTGCTTCAAACAATAAATAAACTTTTTTACTTTGTGAAATAACTCATATTCGATGTCCAAGTTCTGTAACATCTGTGTTACTTCATCATGCAGGCTTGTTGTAGACAGTGTTGCAGATATGGTAGATTTTTGGGTAACATTTAATGAGCCTCATGTCTTTTGCATGCTTACTTATTGTGCGGGTGCTTGGCCTGGTGGTCATCCTGATATGCTGGAGGCAGCCACTTCTGCTTTACCAATGGGTGCTTTCAAACAGGCCATGCATTGGATGGCTATTGCTCACGCAAAGGCCTATGACTACATTCATGGACAAAGGTTCTCTTCTTATGAAGCACTGGAAAATTTTTCAGGAAATATCATATAATTAGTAAATTAATGCAAATGTATCGATAAGATCATGAACACATTGCATTCCAAATATCTTTGAGGTTTCCACTTCTGCTCTTTCCGCTGTTGTTTTCAAGATGCTATAAAATACTTAATGAACAAAGGCCTTAAAGAAAAGTTTCTCTCTTGGAAGCTCTAAGGCCCTATTTGAGTTTTAAAATATGGAGATTGGATTTTAAAGATGAAAATAACAGAAACCCGTGGCCAGAGACATGGACACATGCGTGTATCATACTAGGTTTCTAGCGAACCATCTATTCAAGTCTCTGAACTTATTATTGTCTTAAACAGTTGGCTCGGTTGCTTGAGTAGTATCTTTTATTCTTTTAAGTCGTTTGTGGACCTGCACTGTGAGACTTTTTGTCCTTGTGCCCTTCCAGAAAGGGGGAGAGCTAGAATATTTTGAACAAAGAAGTGAAATATTTAAAGAGATGTTGATGGTAAGGTCAGTATGTAGTACTTTCCTTATGTTAGTATTTATTTTTAAAGAAAGAAAAGGATAGAAATGTGTTTATATTTTTGCAATTAATTTCATCATTGACTGCACATGACAATTGGTGGGTTTAGAATTATCAAAACTCTGAAAATAAATCTCCATTTACTAAAAGATTTCACACAATATATATATACACACATAAATTTGTTTATCTCAAAAATTATACACACATAAATTTGGAGTCAATTAACCTCATGATAAGGGAGCTGACCTTTTTCCTCACAGTATGTATATATATATATATATATATATATATATATAAATATAAATTTGGTGGAGTCAATTAACCTCCCGACAAGGGAGCTGACCTTACTTCCTAATGACTATATTCTTTTTAGCCTTCCTTTTATCCTATAATTTAAGCTACATAGAATTTATGCGTCTATTTACTTGTTGTTACGAACATATGATAAATCTGAATTTTTGTTTCCAGCAGTGCCGTATCAAAACCGATGGTTGGGTTTGCACACCATGTGTCATTCATGCGGCCATATGGTCTCTTTGATGTTGCAGCCGTTGCAGTTGCAAATTCTCTTAGCCTGTTCTCTTATGTGGATAGTATCTCTGACAAACTGGATTTTATAGGCATAAACTACTATGGACAGGTTTCTTCCTTTTTAAATTCGAATTTACCTTTAAGATCTTGAGTCATTTATTCGTGAAAGTAGTTCGTGTATGCTTAATGGCTCTGTTCTTCCAATGCACAGGAAGTGGTCTCTGGTGCTGGATTGAAGCTAGTGGAGACTGATGAATATAGTGAATCTGGGCGTGGGGTTTATCCTGATGGCCTCTTTCGAGTTCTAATTCAGTTCCATGAAAGGTACAAATACCGCAACTTACCTTTCATTATCACGGAGAATGGGGTTTCTGATGAGACAGATTTGATCCGCCGGCCATATATGTTGGAGCATCTACTTGCGATTTATGCAGCAATGAACATGGTTTGATTCTTGATTCCTGGTTCCCTGGAAATTTTGAAAAACTTCATAATTTACTGATCAGTAAAAATTTCTTTTTGGATCTCTTTTGGTTGGTTGACAGGGTGTTCCTGTGATTGGTTACTTATTTTGGACAATTTCTGATAACTGGGAGTGGGCTGATGGATATGGTCCCAAGTTTGGACTTGTCGCGGTTGACCGTGCCAATGATCTTGCCAGAAATCCACGTCCTTCTTACCATCTTTTTTCAAAGGTTTTTTAGTTTTTTTCCCTTTGCATTTGCCTGCTTGATACTATTAATCATTTCTGCTTTTCTTCGATGGCTTTATGCTTTTTGGTTGCTTTGTTTTTGTATTTAGGTGGTTAAAACTGGTAAAATTACATTTGAAGACCGGGCACATGCATGGAGTGAGCTCCAAAGAGCTGCTAGGGAGAGAAAAACACGACCATTCTATCGTGCAGTCGATAAAAATGGTTTAATGTATGCAGGTAAACTAAGCAGCTTGGGTACATCCGATTCTTATAATTGAAATTATCTTCTTTTATATATTGTGATTTATTGTTCCCAATTCTATAGACACAGGTTCTTTTGCTCAAAATATTTCACTTACCGAACTTGTCCTTGAAGTCATGCAAACTATATACCAGATGCTTTCCTCAACTAATGCCTTCATGCTAATTAACTTTGACATAGGTTTCATAACAACTAGATTCTTGGAGTAGAAAATGCCTTATCTGCGTTTAGTGTGGAAATCTAGGATCCCTCGGGAAAGGCATGGTGATATCTTATTTGTTGACATGTTTCCCCTATTACTTGTTAGTAAGTATCAAGCCTTTGGCAGTTAAATTCTCTGCAGAAGCAGAATCAAATCCAGCTTCATCTTAGTCATGGCAGTTGCCTATCTTTTGTGTTAATGCTGCATAAGGAAAAAGAAAAAAAAAAGAAGAAACATCCTGTTAATAATGTAGGAATGATCACTCAATTGTTTTCACAGGAGGCCTTGATGAGCCTACACGGCGACCCTACATAGAACGAGATTGGCGGTTCGGACACTATGATATGGAGGGCCTCCAGGATCCATTAAGCCGACTGTCAAGATGGATTCTTCAGCCTTTCTCTCTCAACAGGGAAAGAAAGTATAAAAATGAAGATTCTGAGTTGCTTCTTGAGCCTCTTGAACTTAGCATGTGACTGCTAATCCATCTCTGTTCTTGCACTAAGTTCTGCTGAGGTCGGGCAGCATCAGAATCTTTTGTGAGGTATATTTGCTTGCCAATTCCGAGATTCATTTATACAGAAGAATTTTTGATGCGTTATATCTACCTTTAAAATTTCTTAATGGGCAACTTATATCTGTGCTTGTTTATCTATAATCATATTGTCTTAATTTGGAAAGAGTGGCTTCTATGTAGCAACTGCTTCAGTTGAACACGCAAATGATTATGTATTTCATCTTTGCTACCGTATTCACCTTAGCTATTGTTCCAGATGATGAGAATTGCCATATAGAACCTATGGTCGGATCAATGGAAGCTGGATGTGGTGGGCCGTATTTTGATTACTTGAAGTCTAGAATGTACCATTTTCTATTTCCTTTCCGTTTCATATTTTCCTTGTGGACAAGATGCGACACTGTGCATGGTCTAATATCCACGGTAACATGGCCAAATAATGCTTCCACAAGTTTTCTTCTACTGTATTTTCTTTAAAATGCTGCAGTGATCCCTTGCCTGGATTTGTAAAGGCTGTCTTCCACAACTTATAAAAAACATAGAGATAGATGGATGATCTCAATGACTTGGACACGCAAGGATTTAGGTGGTGCAGACTTGTTTGGAGCATCTAAGAAGTTTGCTTTCAGTGGAGCTCGATCTGAACTTTTGTAATCCATTTAGTACTACTAAAAAATTGTATTTTTTTAATGAAGCATGTTCATATGATAGATGTATATATCACTTGAATCGAAGTGTGCTACACTATGATCATTTGGGTCAAATACGCAGTGTGCTAATAATACTTTGTGCCAATAATACTCTCGTCTTTATTCTCTTAAAGAATTTAAAAAGTAGAAGTTACATTGCTTGCTGAGGTAACCATTTAGTTATTTGAAGTTATACCTAGGAGAGAATTCATACAAAATTCTTAGAGATCAAAGTGAAGCAGGAACTTCTCCAAACAAGTTACAGTAAGGTGTGAAATTTATTATATCTTTCAAAGCTAAAAAGAATGCAGACAGTTTCTGGAACCAGATCTATTAGAGTTGTCACAAGTATTCCCCCTTGGTTATCTTCCAATAGCCGGTGAGAACATTTACACTGACCAAAAAATGAGCTGCATACACACTTCTTACTACTCAATCATTGAATAGACTACATAAAATGTCATTTTCGGCACTTAGTGCGTAACGATAGGTAGTAGTACCTGGAGCAGCTGAGCTAAATGACACATCAATCCAGACAAACAGGAGATGAAGACAAATATCACGCGGAAGAGAATTTCATCTTAGTTATTTGTGATTGGAAGGTAAGAATCACCTTTTACCTGTCTTAGCCAGTAAAATGATCAATTTACTGTTCGGTAATTGGTTCCCTGAAAGATAGTAGTGCTATGTTTGTTATGCAAAAATCATTGCTCTGCTTTTGTGACATCATATCTTCTACTCCAACTCTTATCCAGATGATTAGATTCTATTGTCTCCTCTCTCTCTCTACCTCTGTCTCACGCATACACAGTTTTATGTTTCACTCAAGTGGTTCATTCAAAGTTTGGAACAACAATGAGCTCAACTCCAGTTAAAAGAGTTCCATTATATTTCTCATTTGCATTTCTGTTTCTTGGTTCCTTAATAAATTTCATTAAAGCTTCGGATGTGAACACGGAAGCCCAGGAATCCAACAGGGTAATTCATCTACCAGGCCAGCCTTCTACCCCGTCTATCTCCCAGTTCTCAGGCTATATCACTGTCAACAAAGACCATGGGAGGGCCTTGTTCTACTGGTTCTTTGAAGCTCAATCTCAGCCGGCCAAGAAGCCTCTTGTTCTCTGGTTTAATGGAGGTTTGCAAATATTTGTTTCAGCTGTTGTTGAATGTTTGATCATTCAGTACTCTTATGGTGGAATATCTAATAAGGCAGCTGTTTTTTGTTGTTGAAGGACCTGGTTGTTCATCCATTGGGTATGGTGCAGCCTTGGAATTGGGTCCTCTTAGAGTTAGTGAAAATAGAACTGGGCTTCACTTTAATAAATATGCTTGGAATCGAGGTACCTTTTAGTTTCTCTACCTACTTTGATGTTCATATAGCTCAAGTATTAGTCATTGTCAGCTGGGACCTATTGGCTTTTTCACTCTTCAGACTTTCTTTTTGAACGCATTTGCAGAAGCCAATTTGCTATTTCTGGAATCCCCTATTGGAGTTGGGTTTTCTTACACAAACATGTCTTCTGATATGAACAAATTAGATGATGGCTTTGTGGGTAAGTCACCAATTATATATGTGAATTCTGCTCCATTATTGTTTGGTAATTAAGATATCAGTACTTAGCAATTATCTTCTTAAAGCTGAGGATGCCTACAATTTTTTGGTGAATTGGCTTGAAAGTTATCCGCAATTCAAAACTCGTGATTTCTTCTTGGCGGGAGAAAGTTATGCAGGTGAGATTTTCATATGTATATATATATGTATATCTGTCTCCTTTCCCCCCACCCTCCCACCTCAAGTCTCTCCCTAACTGAGAATTTGTTGATCTGCATCATTTTGCAGGCCACTATGTGCCTCAACTTGCAGAGCTTGTATATGATCGAAATAAGGAGAGAAATAGATACCCACATATCAATCTAAAAGGTTTTATAGTACGTAAGCCTCACTCCTGCCTAGAGTGCTTAACCTATAAAGACAGACATACACACACACATATGCATCTCTTCATGCATATAATAATTTTTCTTTGCATGCATATCTTCAAGCTTGATACAAATTCCTTATTCAAAATTTTTTTCGAAAAAGGGCTGCTAAAAATTCTCTAAAACTAACGCATTGCAGGTAGGAAATCCTGAAACTGATGATTATTATGATTCCAAGGGTTTACTAGAATATGCATGGAGTCATACTGTTATATCTGATCAGCTTTATAACGAAGCCAAACAAGTATGTGATTTCAACCTTTTCAATTGGTCTGAAGAATGCAATGAGGTCATGAGCATTCTCTATGAGAAATACCGAGAAATTGATATATACAATATCTATGCCCCGTCATGTCTTACCAAGAGCACAGCTTCGGTAGCCGATAGTAGACGTGATCACAGTGTTGAATCACTGTCAAAGGTGACAGTCTTGTGAATCTTACAGTTTCTTTAGCAATATTGCTCCTGATCTGTGCATGTATAATGTTGTAAGAAACATTTATAAAGTGAGAATTGGATAATTGTAATTTTAAGTTTGCCGAAAGTGAGTTTCTGCAGGTAAGTGATAGAGGGTTAAGGAGGTTGAGAATCCCTGGAGGGTACGATCCATGTTATTCTAGATATGCAGAAGAGTATTTCAACAGAAGGGATGTTCAGTCATCCCTCCATGCAAACCTTAAAGGTGGAAAATGGAGGGTCTGCAAGTAAGTCAGAATTGTGATATCTCGTGTATCTGTGTCATATGTGGAGTAAGCCATATATTGATATATATATATATATATTTCAGTATATTGATAGTATACATATATGTTTCTAAGTAATGGTTAGATTATTATGATACTGGTTTGAAGGCTCTGATTCAGCGTATTGGTGTTGCAGTAATGCCATCTTCAGGACATACAACTATACAGTGTTTTCCATTTTACCGATTTACGCCAAACTCATCAAGAGTGGTTTGAAGATATGGATTTACAGGTAGGTATCTTTTTTGAATTTTGCTTTTCCAGATCTCTCCAAACTTTTTTGAACCCGTGGTGAGCTCAGCCTGCTAACTTTGGAATCAATGGTGTAAAAAAGACAAAATCGTGGGTTGACTTGTCAGTCAGTAGTGGCAATATGATTGAACACCCGTGACGTTGTGCTGGCTGGTTGGCTGGCTTGTTCTTGTTTGATTGACAATTAATATTGGTTTGTGTGTTTTTGACAGTGGGGACACTGACGGTAGAGTACCAGTCATTGGGTCTCGATATTGTGTTGAAGCTCTCGGTCTTCCTCTCAAATCTTCTTGGGGCTCTTGGTTTCATCGCCATCAGGTTCCTTCCTCATCCTCTTTAATTTGTCACTTTCTAATTTCAACGTCCGCATACAATGCTTATCAGTTTAGGTAATAACAAGTTACACCAACAGTTACCAATACGGTAATATAGTGGTTAAATTTTTACCGTTAGATTTGAAGATTGTAAGTTTGAATTTTATAAGAACTGCAAATTTATTATTTTATAAGTGTATTATAATCAGTAGCGATTGAGTGATGTATAATGTTTAGTTTCAACGATGAAGTACTTTTGAAGATGACACTCAGAGATATTGAAATGCAGGTCGCAGGGAGGATGGTGGAGTACGAAGGGTTAAGTTTGGTGACGGTGAGAGGGGCAGGTCACTTGGTCCCCCTTAACAGGCCAAGTGAGGCTTTGGCACTCTTTCATTCATTCTTGACCGGAGAACAGCTTCCCACACATCCGTGACCATTCTATATATATATATATATATATATATCTTATATTTATTAGTACAACCCAAATTAAGCTTGTTTGATCTCTTCCACAGTATGTTTCTAGAAAGCTTGATTCACCTCAACTCTTCATTATCTCTCCATCCAATATTATAAGCTTTCTCTGACATTTAACTTCCGGGGTCTAAGGAAAAAAAAGCTAAATTGTTATGCCCTTAAAGCCCATATCGAGTAAACAGCCAAGGCTTAATCTTATCTTAATTCACCGTATTTTCAGTTTCGTAATCTTATACAGGATATATACATTTACATTTTATTTTTTATATTACGTTAAGTTAATCTAAACTACCGTACAACGTTTTATCTTATTCGATTTTACTTCCGTCTACTTTTTACAAATTTAAAAAATTTAAAATAATTAATCTCTAACGTAGTAAGATCTAATTTCGAATTGAAAAATACATCTAGTTGTGGGATAGTCTTATCGTAAGATCACGCTACGATCGGAATGTTACGAAACATCATATTATACTTTATATTATGTTACTCTAATTTAAGATAGTGAGGAGAAAAAATTGAAATGTAATCCAAATCACTAAAACAATAATGGCAAGTGGCAATTATTGATAAATAATATCTTATGTATAAATACATTATGAACGCACCACGAGTATAATATCATAATGCATATGTACATATATACATACATATATATAATATGTATACATACTTTATACTATGTTTTGATTGAGTACACACCCTTTTTCTTCCACCTTCGAGATGGTCTCTTTTTGGGTGCCCAAAAGTGAAATACCTCTACATATTGGGTTAGAGATACTATGTCCAATCTGGTTTTAATTAGTGTAATTAATGATTGATAGTAATTATATAAGCAATTAATAATATCCAACTTAGTTAGTAAAAAAATAATTTTAATGTGATTATATTACTATGTTTGAATACAATAGGAAAACAAAAAATCATTATTAATTTTCAATCAAACGAGAATCAATAATATGATATGTATTAAGATATAGTTTAATTATAAAAATTTTTAACGACCGATCGAGATTATGAATATTAGTACGATGAATATAAATAATGTTTTATCTTTTTTATTTTTTATTTATTAAGAATATGTTCGAGTTTAATACACATAAATTACTTGAGTACGGTAAGATATAAAATTTTTATATTGATATTCTAATTTTTGTATATCTCATATGTAACGGCCCCGGAAAATATTAAAATGAAATTAGTATTTAAATATATCAAATGCGGAAGCGAGATCAAAATTTCATTTAACATCCCTTACACGAAAAACCAAACAAACGTACTTAAAATATAAAAGGTTAAACTAACTAAGAAAGAAAACTCGAAAATAAACTATGCGTATGACTACAGAGTCTCTAGGCATCCCCTTCGTCGTCCTCCTGCGGAACGGGCTCGGGAACCATGTCTTCCTGATCTGAAATGGTTAATTAAGGAGTGAGCTACACTACCCCAGTAAGAACATCACGATATCTCACCGTCACGGAGATAAAGGTGGGTAGAAAACCACAAAAAGACCAATGGAGCATAATTTACAATAAACTCGTTTATTAACAACAAAACCTTTTATCAATAATAAAACTTTTACCATCCACTTACCTTGGTGGAATTTATGAAAAACAATATGAGAAAAACAATAACATTATCATAATCATTGAATAATCTAAGCTGTAAAACATAACACTTATCACGCCTCTTGTAATTCAATCATTGTACAACATATCTTTTCCTCATTTACCAGCCTACTAGTATCCGTGGGGGTCCATAGGGGTTCCGCTACCCGTTAACCTTTAACATTCATAATCAGTTTCCAGGGCCGTCCCCATACCCCGTCCGGTATGGGCGCCAAAACCATGAACCTCAATACCCCGTCCGGTATGAGGGTGAAACGGGCCGTCCCCATACCCCGTCCGGTATGGGCGCCAAAACCATAAACCTCAATACCCCGTCCGGTATGAGGGTGAAACGGGCCGTCCCCATACCCCGTCCGGTATGGGCGCCAAAACCATAAGATCTCCATACCCCGTCCGGCATGTGAGACCACAATCCCGGTAGGGTTCCCTACGGACCCGGTCCGTCCACCATCTCCCAGGATATCTAGTCAGGCTGACCCCCATAATACAATTATCAGTTTACACAATCTTTCATTTTTCCTTTTCCTCAATCAGCATCATCAATTCACATTTAAACAAGCAAATCGTAATTCATACCAAACAGACAACATACAGTATCAGTTTTTCAGTCATTCAACCCATAATTAATAAAAACGTAGTGCATGCACACAAATCTGTAAAATGAACACATCAAACCTCATTTTGCATTTAAAGCTGTAAACAGGCCAAATAACAGTAAATCATCAATCACACTAGACTCGGGCTCCATTAGCAACCGTAAGCAATTTCACACATGCGTTAATTCAAGAAATACCGTTTTATCATTTTGAACTTTAATACCGTGATAGGAAATAGGGTGAGGGGTCCTTACTTGTTTTCGGGATCCGAATACGATTCACAGTGCGCCTGCAGGCTGTCCCTAATTTTCCCCTGAATTTTTCCCGGGGAACTGAAACACGCTAACAGTACCTGCACGGGTTCCAAAAAAAATCCAAATTAGCCCAGGGCCTCTTTCGGCCCAAATCGCAACTCCCGGCACGGCGGCTCCGCCGTGCTCGGCGACGCGCGCCGCTGGCGGCGGCGAGTCGCTCGGGTTGACTGTTTTCGGCCGTTTTTGGCCGAAATTCGGCCACACTCGCATTGGTCCTTGTCAGAAAACAACCCTAGGGCCCTCGGGGGGCCAAAAAATCACGGAAAAACGGAGCTTACCGGCGGCGGCGCTCTCGGGTACGGCGACTCTCCGGCGAAGTTCGTGTTTTGGTGATTTGGCTTCGGTCAACCTGTAGAGAAAAGAATGGTGATCACGGTGATATAAAAATTGCATCGAACGGAGGCCGGGAAGGGCCTCGTCGGAGGCAAAAACCGAGAGGGGGCGCGGCGGTGCCGCTGGGCTTCGGCCGCGTATTCCGGCCGTTTGGCCGGGATTTCGGCTTCGATTTGGCCATAGGAGGAATCAGTGGGGAAAAACGAGTCGGGGGTATGAAATTTACCTCGATCGGCGGTCGGAAATTTCCCCGGTGCGGCGGCGAGTGGCGGCGGGTGGCGGCGGTCGGCCTCTGGTTCGTCTTCTCCGGCGAGCGGCTGGCGGCTAGGGTTTGTGGTCTGGTGTGGAGGTTCTATTTATAACCCCTTGCCTTTTGATCACAGCCGTTCATTTTGTTTTAATCTGGGCCGTTCGTTTTTGATTGAATCTGGGCCGTCCGTGCGATTGAATCTGGGCCGTCCGATCGCGTGATTGATCTGGGCCGTCGGATCGCACCCACGCGGATCGCCAACGTGGCTCCTTTTGGAGTGACGCGGTCTTGCCACGTGGCAGGCCCTGGTTGGCCGGGACTGCTGACCGGGCCTGCTGACGTGGCTGCTGACGTGGCCGCCCTTTCTTTTTTTTTTTTTTTTTTTTTTTTTTTTTTTCTCCTCCTTTCCGGGTGCTACATCATATATCAATTTGAGTTAAAATACGTATTATTTATTTTTTTAATAATATATTTTTTATTTTTATTTTTATCAAATATTATAAAAGTAAATTTTTAAATGTACGATTCGAACTATATAATAATAGAAAAAATGTTATTACTACTTCGATATTATTAACCGGGTATAATTTTATCTATAAATTAAATTAAATGATAATTATATGTTTTAATAATTTTTAAATAATTATGAATTTTGTATAATAATTTTCTTATTCTTATGTCAACTTCTTTTATTTTTTTCTTCAGAAAACTGAAAATTTTTGTCATTAAATTTGTTTTTTTTGTTATTTATATATAGACGTATATGTATATAATAGTGAGATATTTAACAATATATATATATATATATATAATTTAAAGAATTTATCAAAAAAAAAATTGAAGAAATGCCAAATTGTTATTAAAGAAATTAAAATTGGCGTAAAAGAAGGTGAAAAAAAAAACCCTTGGAAGTAAATGCTAGAGGATTGCGAACCAAACAGCTGCTTCTCCACCAACCTCCTGGTTCAGACGATAACTCGCATCACCCTCAGCCCAAGGATTCCTCGCCATTGACTAGACAACAAGGAAAAGGGAAAAAAGGAACCCAACTGTGCCAGACGATCCCTTAAAATTCGATTCTCGGGGGAGACCAACACTCTGTCTGTCTGTCCGTCTGTCTCTCTCTCTCTCTCTATATCGCTCTAGAGCTTCTTGTGAGTATCTCTGCTACTTTTTGCTCAGTCAAATTCATCGAGATATATATATATATATATATATGTATATATAATTATTCTGTATTGACGTTCTCTCTTTGTTTAGCAATTTCGATTCGGTTGAAGATAGCCGATGGTTTATTAGATTTAACAAGAAAAATACCACGCTTTAGGGCCTGTCTTGTTCTGTTTCGATTCTCATTTATTCATTGGTTTAGGGCTTTTTTGTCACTCGTTTTTGGGTTTTTTTTCCCCTCGTTATTTCCTTCTTCTGAGTCTCTGGTAGTTGCTACTGCTTCTGGGTGCTTGTCTTCACTGTTGCGTTGAATGCTTTTTCGTGTTCTGTATCGGACTTGCCCATCTGCGTATAGTTTAAGATTTTCGTTTTACTTAATTCTGAGTTGTTTCTGATTTGTGTTTCAAATATTTTATCACTCCAACGCTGTTCTTCTACTGGGTCGTTCTTGACGTTTATGAGATTTGCGGGTGCCGGGAGTTGATGGTTTGTTTACTGTAAATTCTCAGTTGTGCGATTTTCTGTTTGCGGCCATGCTTATACTCAGATACCGATTGATTGTTTTCTACACTATTATTGAGAATTTTGCTGTAATAAAGAGAAAGTTAATCATCACTTGAAGCATGTGCGGATCATTGCAGTTGTTCTGCTTTTGTATGTAAATTGCCATCTTTGGTATTCATGTTTTGTCATACTAGGTATTAGGCAATACAATTTATTTAAAGTTATTTGTTTTTGTTCGGGTGCCCTGCTGTAAGAATTTGCATTTGATTTATGGAATTTAAACCCCAAAAGGAATTATGAAGGCTAAAACAATACCATCTGTGTAAGTAGATAGATATCCTTGTATTTATATAAACATCGTAAATGTTGGTATGATTTTGGTAAGAACACTCCAAACTTAAAAAGAAGTGTTGATAGGTCAAACCAGGAAGTTGGATGAATATGTAGTCGTAGAAAAAGGAATTATGAAGAATGTTTAAACAATACTATCTATATAAGTAGATAGATACCCTTGTATCTACTATATAAACATCGTTAATGTTGGTATGATTTTTATAAGAACACTGAAAACTTAAAAGGAAGTGTTGATAGGTCAAATCAAGTTGTGTGAGTCGAGAGAGGGATATGGGCATGAGAACATTCTTCTTGGTCAGGGCAAACAGCCATCATTATCATCAATGTTTCCAGCCTCTAGTGTTACGGTGGGATTTAGGTTTGCTTTTATAGTTTTAGATAATGTATTAAGTCTGTAATGCCTGATTCTAAGCTATGTATCTATACACAAAAAGCACATTTCGTATCAACTTTGTTACCTTTCAATCAAAGTACATCTGTTCAAATTACCTTTTGATGCAGAGTTGAAGGCTTCTGCTTATTTTGCCTTGCTAAAATGGCATTATTATGAAACATTTCATGTACAGATGGGAATATAGATGGACATACATTCTTTTCGTTAGGGAAATAGATAGATAGATAGTCGTGTAGGTTGTGTCTGTTGGCTTATTCCTTCCATCTCTTTTAGTCATTACTTAGTTTTTTGGTGGTCATAGTATTGAAGGAGGAATTCTAAATGTAAGATATTATCATAAAAAAGAACCTAAAAGTAAGAACCCTTTTTAACATTTTTATTTTTATTGGAACCTTTTTGTCATATGGGATCATCATCTCTTTTTGCATCAGGTATGATTGTGACTTTTGGTTCCTTGGACCTAGGGCTTCAGAGGGTAATTGACTTTGACATGTCAAGTATTCCATCTACGAGAATAATCTATTTGAGTTTGAAAATTTTTCTCTCTTATAACCGTAGTACAAAGAAAAGTAGGTTTTGGGTTGGTCAGGCCACTAAAGCTGTTTAAGATACATCGAAGGAGATACTACTGAGGTTGGCTCTGCATTTGCATTTCAAGATATGTTTTCCTTGCAGTGTGTGCATGACTTACTCCACCTGTGTGTACCTACATATTTATATTTCCTTCAGGTATCATACTAGATTTTTGTTCTTTACAAATCGACCACTTTGTTGGTGATTTCTCTGTTAATGACATGACGCATGCACCGTCTTGTGTCAAGTGACTTCATCTATCTGGCTGTAGGTAGTTTTTGCACTCTTAGGTTGGCTTAATTGGCGTGTGCTCGTTCTTTTTCCATTTGTATTCTGTTGTCATTGTGCCCCTATTTGGATCAATTCTTAAATCAAGAAACATTCTTTGGCAACCTTGTATAGAAAAGATGATTGATGTTTTTGCTATCAAGGAGCCTGCTTGCATCATGGTGATTTTTGGTTAGACTTCTTTTGAATTTTGTGGAGATGAAGCTCATGAAATGATCTATCTGTTTGTAATGCCATTGATCCTTCAAAATATGAGAAAATTCTTACCTTGCTTTTTTCTTTTAGGGAAGAAACAAACATGTGGACTGACTACCAAAAGTTTTAGTGACAGGTAATTTCTTTTCTGGAAGAGTCTTATGGGTTCCTTGATCATTAGGAATGGACTGATTTAAGTTCCTCTCTGAAATAGTGCGATATATATCCCATGGCTCGCAGAGGTAATAATCAGAAGCATGGGCAGGATCATCATATATCAAACCACAAAAAGAAGGGCTCAGATTTCATGCCAGTCATGAAAGGGCAGGGAAAAGCAAGTGAGGTAAAGGTTTTTCATGGGGAGGAGGTACGAAATGGCAATCAAGCTAGTGAGTCGTTTATAGAGACTGCAAGCAAAAGTCATCATGCTGACGATGAGTATAAAAGTAAAGAAAAGTGTGGGAAACCTATGGAGATTGAGAAGAATGCAACAGATGGCTCTGAAAAGTCCACTTCTTTTGGGAGTCTTTCTGGGGATTTCATTGAGAACATATCTCCCTTGCAAACTGGTGTTACAGAAGAAAAGAGAACATCATCCAGCGGTAATCTTGGTCCGAAACGTGCAAAAAGGGTTTTGAACGTGCTGAATGGATTGCACATTAGTAGTCTGATGGAGAACATAGAGTTCTCAGATAATGTGGTGGTCAGGTACTTGAGAGATTATTATGTTTTTCTCTTGAAGGCAATGACTGAAGTCATGGAGAGGCAGAAACCTTATATATTTAATCTAAAAGGGAGAACACATAAAGCTTGTGATCATGTGAGAATGAAGATTAAGCAAGCATATCCTATTGTTAGGAAATTGCTGGTGCATGTTGGGAACATAATGCTTCTGTTGTCACTGGTTTGGTTGGACTGTACACTTAGGGGTATTGATTCTTTCCTGCGCATGGGGACAACATCCTTTTTCTCAATTATATGGTGCAGTATTCTTTCAGTAACGGCTATGGTTGGGGTGTCTAAATTTCTGATTGTCTTGGTAAGTTGTACTCATCCTATGACTTCATTTTGATCTTTAATACTCACTGACATAAGGGTCAAAGTTAGTCTGTGGAACAATTCTTTGAACAATCGCATATTGTGAACTTGGTTAACCTATTAGTTGCATGAAATATATTTGCATGATGGGCTAGTATGATACATGTAAAAGTCCTATTCATGCTTTTTTCCCCTTGTGGATCATATATTGTATGGTCATCTAAGAGGCATTTTGCTGTGTTCATATGTTATTTAAGAACATTAGATGCAAATAATATTTCTGAAAGATGCAAGGGATATGAGGTGTTCGAGGAGCACAGAGTGAATTCAGTTGGCATTAATTGGACAACACAATTAGGATTGCACTAGACAATGCAGTTGGCATTGGTAATATATTCTGTTATAGGTTATGGAACATTGCATACATGTCTTCAAAGTGAATGATAACACATTCATCTACTAAGTTATCTGGGTGTCAGTTGCTTCCCAAAAATTTATGCATCCCACTGAGGTGGTAGTCCAAGTGGTACTGCTCCATTCTTCCCACTAGCTAGTCATGGATTTGGGATGCGAGTGTGGTTAGTAGTCCATGCTTCTAACCAATGTGGGGAAAGAGTGCTTCTGCTTACATCTTGGTGGGGATTAGTGGTTGTCGGTTGCCCTTTGGACAATAGTTACAGTTTAAATCAGACATTTCCCAACATGTTGGGTGACCCTTGGTTCTGCCCAAAGAGAATTGGTTGATGGCTACGCTGATCATATTCAACAAAAGACAACATACTGTGGAGTTATTGATTCCATGTAATGCTGCTTCCTGATTTACCCTAACAATATCGCCAACAATAATGTGGTGCTAGATGAACCACTTCAAATCTGTATTTTAATAATCTGCATTTAGAACTGTTTTATTTTTGTCATTCACATATATGCTAATGACTTTACTAAAGTTTTCATCTAAAGGTTGATTTAGTTACTTGTGCTGTTTTTTCAATTTTGGTTGCAACTGTTTGGATCCTGCATCCATTTAATTGGTTGATTATCTGATAGATAGATCCTTATGTGTCTATTA